GCTGAGTTCCGCTTCTCTCCGCCAGTGAATTTCACGTATGAACGCGGCGGTCACACGTCCCACATCGACCACATCATCGTGCCTGGCAAACTTGCAGATGAACAGCTTCTGTCATGTTGTATCATCCCGCCTTCTTATGACAACCTCAGTCCCCATCTGCCTATAACATGTACTCTTCTGCTCCAAATAAACGGTGAAGAGAGGGAAAGACCAGCGCCGCGAGACCACTCCAGTTCTCACCGCACGGTACTGGATTGGAACAATTCCGACAGGAATCAAAGGTACTGTGAACTGCTCTCCACGCAGCTGGAGACAGTGGTCCAGCCAAACCTCAGCGCCGATCAGATAGACTGCCTCCTGACGTCAGCCATCCATCAAGCTGCAGCTGAGGCCGGCTGCTCTCGGCCCCGAAGACCGCCAAAGTCCTGGTGGAGCCCTTCAGTGTCGGCAGCACGGGACCGGGCGCGCCTGTGGCATCGCATTTGGACTCACGCCGGTCGACCACGGAATACGGTCCTGCACAACTGCTTCAAAGTTGCGCGTCGTTCATACAGGCAGGCCCGGGTCGATGCAGCACGTGCCCAGGTTGATAACAGCGCAAATCTCCTGTCATCGCTGCGTCAGAAGAAGGACATCAATTCGTTCTGGCGCCGTGTAGAGCAGGCTCGACGTGGCTCGGGCGGTTTGCGCTCCTCGCTCACGGCGGACAGCCTCGAGGCCCACTTCCGCCCCATTCATACGGACGAGGACACCCTCTCTGCAGCCCAAGATGATGTGCGCACCCGAGTAGAAGCCCTGCTGTCCCAGGCGAAAGAAGATCCTGGCCCCGCTAAGCGCGTCACTGCAGGAGATGTAGCTCGCTTGATCCCGCAAATCAACCGCAACGCATCACCAGGACCGGACGGCGTCACCGCTGAGCATCTTGTCTACGGCTCTTCAGGACCACTGCACGAGGCTATCGCCTCTCTACTCTCTGCCTGCCTCGCTGAAATGCGTGTCCCTGTCAGTTTCACATGCAGCACAGTGGTGCCTATCATGAAGAAGACCGGACTGGACCCCGACTCTGCCGATAGCTACCGCCCCATCTCTCTCGTGTCGACTATCTCCAAACTTCTGGAACTGATCCTTCAGGAAGAGATCGACACGTCATTTGAGGCCTCTGAACTTCAGTTTGGGTTCTTAGGGCATAGGGGCACCAGCGAAGCGTCTATGCTTGTACACGAGACCGCGCAACATTACCTATGCTATAAACTCCCGCTGTTTGCAGCTAACCTCGATGCTAGGAAATGTTTTGATCGTTTGTGGCATGATGGCGTCCTCTTCCGAGCGAGTGAGCACCTCCCACGCCGGAGCTGGGCGCTTCTGGCCTATTGGTACTCTCACCTGTCAGCCCGAGTACGTTTTGGTGGGAAGCTGTCAGACGCCTTCTGTGTGCGCCGAGGAGTGAGACAGGGTGCGCTTTTATCGCCGTGCCTCACCAATATGTTTTTGTACCCGCTCATCCAACAGCTCGATGACTGTCGCTTGGGCGCCACGCTGTATGGCCACCACATCCCAGCAGTTGCATATGCTGATGATATTCTGATTATGTCTAGTAACGCACGCGATCTTCAATCAATGCTTCATATCGTCTCCTCCTTCTCAGTGTTGTGGAGGATAGATTTTGTACATGTGAACCAAAGCTTGACCAAGAGTCACAGCTTTATATTCGGAGCCGAGTTCCTCTCTCGGACGCCTCAGTGGCAGCTATGCGGACAGATCCTGAAGCACCGACAGGAAACCACACACTTGGGTGTTGAGCTGCGCTCCCAGCTGCACGGTGCCGATCAGGTGACTGCCCGAATTCAGCGGAGCAGGGGTGCGTTCTTTGGCCTAACGCCGGCCGGCATGTTTAATCAGCACCTCTCCGCTGTTGATAAGGCATTTCTATGGCGGATGATTGTCGCTCCTGTTCTGATTTATGGATGTGAGGTCTGTTTTTTAAGCTCTGGAGATATTGCTCGCCTCGAAGGCTGGCAAGCCTCGGCGGTCAAAAGCGCGCTACGCCTACCGCGCACTGCCCACCACTCCGCACTAATGGCGGCACTTCGCATCCCAAGTGTACAAGCTCTCGTCCGGCGGTCTATTTTTCGCGCTACTCAAAACGCTTTTCGTGGCCAGCACCGCCTCCGTTGTGTGCTGGTGAGTAGCCTGGCCCAGTTGGCGACCAATGCGAGATTCGCGGAAACATCTGCTTCTATTGTGTGCCATCTAATGTCGCTATGTGGGGGAAACTTCATGAGGGTACTGGAGGCTGCCAGCGGTCATATACACGGAGACTGGGTGCACACGCCCAGGCCCGAGTGTGGCCTTGCAGACTCGCTCAGCTGGCTGATGGACAGCAACAGCGCCGAGTCATGGCAGCTAGTAAGGCTGCTTGTAACAATACATCCAAACTGATTCTCCTAGTCCGTCTGATGTAAAAAGCTGCCCGTGCTTTGCAAACGTGACTTTGTTGTGCCGTGCTGTGTTTGTATCTTCATGTGTCACGGTTATGTTATGAAGATATGTTCTCCTTGTTTTGTCCTCAAAGGATGTCAAATAAATATGATGATGATGATGATGATTGCACACTAATGAAAAAGCGGGCTCTCATGGACTGCTCCCCAAGGTGAGGCCAGTAAAGGAGACCACTTAGTAGGTAGCTAGGTACGGGTGATACATTGATGTCTAATCCAAAGAAACCAATGAGGGACGCGAAGCAATCGATGCTATTTAATTGCCAAATTAGATGGATGGTTTAAAGTTGCAATCCATTGCTATTCATTACAATCACTTAAAATAATTGCCTGTTTGGAGCCGGTACTTCGAGCTCTGTATTCATTATTACTCAAATACCGTATTCAGTGATACAATTTCAGGCTTTTACTAGATTTCATTCGGCTAATTCCCTGAAGTGTGGGTCACTCCATCAAATGACCCGTCTTTTCGTATCCAGGCTGACGGCTACGAATACCGGTTAAACCTACCTACATGACAGATGTGACCCGGTGCTAAACTTGACAGGTCCTATGGTTAGGTCCTCTTCAGACCGTCCTACACGCCATCGTTATTCAGTTTACCTCGCTGTGCAGTGCTGTACCGCCTCCTGGCACGAAATCTGCCTCTGCGCACCGGAAAACCTGCATCACTCTGTGCATGTGCGAGCGCAATTATTTCGGGGCGGCGGGGTCGTACCCATTCGAGTAATTGGCTCAGTAACCGTTCATTTTATAGCCGCAGCACGGGTCGGGTTGCGCCCGTAGTGGACGTTTGCTGGAGTGGGGGAATGTTGTAACTGTCTCGACCTTGCAGCGTCAATCGCTCGATTTCTAGGCTATTGGCGGTGACTCCGGACCCTGACGGCAGTTGTCTGGGTCGGTCGTGCAGGCACGCAGACTGTTGTATTGAACTGGGCCGGGAATTATTGATGTGCTATCGGCCGGTCACTGCGGGCGTGCTTACGTTCGATGAAGGCCTTCTGGTGAAACCTGAACAGTGAACACTCATTGCAACGACTGCAGTCCTTCTTTGAGCAATGAGTATTCGTTTGCCAGCTCTTCAGCTGTTTTATTTACCTAGCTGTTCATCTCCTCGCACTACGCATTGCTCTCCGTATGTGCCCAACGACTCGTCATTCTGGCTGATTGCTTTTTCCCGGTGATTCGGCCTCGTTTGCTGGCTGCTGAGCACTGCCCTTATACGGGTCGCTGAATGTCTGTTGCACCGGGGACATCACGCACTTCACCATTTGCCGACTCTAGAACGCACTGGCTGTCGTGCGTCACCTATCTGGTATCTAATAACGACGAGTGATGCTCTCCGACCATCAGCTATTGAGGTACCGGACTATTGAGCTGCTTATTCCAACAGCTGGGACATTTATACCTACATTTATATAACTCGAACTTATTGTGACTTGCATTGCAGTCACAGCGAGACGGTGACGAATCACAGCTCTTGGTCAACAGATGACTGAAATACCACGTTACTTATTAATGACCGAAGCTGGCAAATGTCATTTCGCGATGATACGCTCGCATCAATCATGACGATCCGGCCCTGCGCACAGTCTGAGCTTTGGCCGACCCTGCGCTGGCAATGACTTTCCTGGCCTGTGAGTGTGTAGTGTACTCGTATGTGGGTGGGCGTCTCTCTGACCTGAATACAGCCGACTGACTGGGTGGCTGCCCGGTTCCCGGAGATTTGAGCCGCGCCCCCCCCCCCCGCGGTGTGGGTGGGCGGCCCACGCCCCCGGCAGTGCCACGCGCCGACTGAGCCCGCGCGCTGGGATACCTGATAGGGGAGGGGCGTGTTACTGGGCGACAGGGACATGTGTGGAGCTGGGGTGAGGGGTCAACGCTATCCGCCGAAAGGTCACCAGACTTTGTACTCAAATACACCGGTGAAAATCCTAGCCTTTGGCGCGATCACATCAAGCTTTGGGACGATCAATATCACCCAACATTTGCCATTTTCATTTGTGAATGAAAATGAGAATATAATAGTATTCAGATACGTACTATGATATATGCAATATGCATGCAATGTTGTGACCATAAGCTATTGGCACATTTTCCCTTATTTCATTGTTGCACAAAGCTTAGAAACATTAATTATTTTCGTACGGCATGAGATAAAGGTCACATGCCTGTATTGAACTTTGCTCCCAAACTTGATTATGGTGTCGGATCCTCTCCAGTTTTTGAGCCAGGTCACCTGGGCTCAGCAGTTTCAGTGCAATGTTGGCTTGCTAATTATCCTAACGTAGTAAACTTGTGGCTCTCTGAACCAGTGAGAGTGCTAAATTTACAGCCGAGTCGATCGGAGTCGACCTTTATGCCAAACAGGAGAGAGGTGTCGATATGCGTAGTGAAAGAATGACTCGCCGAATTCCGAGTCGGCTTCGCTCTAAACGTTATCTAACCAATCCCAACTACTCTGAGTGAATACGCTCTGAATGTTATTTCTGTTTGTTTCAGATGGCTGGGTGTCACGAGGCGCTCATAGCCTGGCGGCTTCTTCTGTGAGCAGGCTGGACAGTGTCCCGCTGTGACCCGCTGTGACCTCCGGTGACTCGCCGCATCACTGGGACACACCACGGCCGTCGCTGCCGTCGTGACCCAGCGCGGTCTGCTGTGACCTAACCTACAGTGAACCGTCGTGACCCAGTGCGGCGGTGTGACTTCTAGTGACCTCTAGTGACCTCAAGTGACCTCCGGTGACTTCCAAAATGGCCGAAGCGGACGCGGCCGGAAAATCATCGCGTCGTCCGCACTCGACATTCTCGTACCCGTCATCGGGCGCACGGCACTCACCACCGCCTCCGGCTCCGTTACGACACTCCTACGCTCCCGACTACCCTCCTGAACCGGCGGGCGCTGTGCGACCCGACCCGTTCGCAGTGTTCGACGGCCTCAGCATCGGCTCCGACACTCGCATGTCGGTGTCGACGGCCTCGTCTCTGCCGTCGGTGCTGTCGGAGCTGGCTGATGCCGAGTTTCCCGACACACCGTTCGTGTGGACGAGTGACGAGGTGAACTGGCAGGAGCGGTGTCTGGAGCTGGAGCTGAGTCTGCAGCGCTTCAAGGATCAGGCCGGCAGGATCAGGAGCATGCTCAGAGATAAGGTGAGTTCCGGCGGTGGGGTGGAGTTGGGGGTGGAAAATGTCATGAAAATGGAATGTCAAGGAAATGTCAAGTGAATGTGAATGTCTCAGGATGGAGTTGGAAGGGTTGGAAAATGAGGAACGGCACTGACTGACTACTGATTAATGATTCCTCGAACTCGGATGTTTTTGTCCGGTACGACTAGCGTTTAGCAAACTGGCTTATGGCAGAGGCCACATGTGCTTGTTTGGACAGTATGCATAAACGTATCATAGCCGTACGTTTAGACGTCTGTGTAAACTGCGCACTGCGTGAAATGTGACGTTTTAGGTAAATTTTGGTCATCTATTTGAGACTTGCCCCGCAGCAGTGCTCTTTGTCATGCAGCCACTGGATACGCTGCATTAATATCCTCTCCATTACCGCTATCATGGTCTCCGGATATGAACCCAGAATCCATTTCCGGAAATCGAACCAATAACTGCAACTGATGTGCAGCCTACATACTTCAAAGGCTTTGAAAATTGCATATGCTCGATAGTAGAGTTGCAAAGTTTTCCTCAAAGGCTGCTACCGGCACCGCCCCGCCCCACAAAAATTTTCTGGGATACCGGCATGCTACCACGCCCCAGGCAAAAAAAACCGCCAAATTACCGGCATACTAAAAAACCTGCATTCTTGATTCTAGCTTACCCCTACAAGAGATGCCACATTTTGGCATGCAGTACCTGTCCCACCCAGCAGCCATCCATTGTCCAACCACAAATACCAGCAGGCTGATTTTGGCTGAGTTGGCCCCACAAATACCCAAAATTTTGAAACTCAATTTCAGTCTATAACTGTTAAAATATCACCTGTAATCCAAGCGGTATTGCCTACAAAAAAAACTAACACATTCAGCAAAAAGGTGAGGACAAAAAGAACTTGAATTACTGAAATGTGTTTTTAAAGACTGGACAGTGAGCACTAAGCAGTAATCACATTTACATTTCACAGGTGTTCTACTTTTCCACATTCTAAAATGTTGCAGGCACCAGCAAAATGTTTAAAATCTAGATGGTCAAAACATAAACAAGTACAGATTCGGCCATCTTCCTAACTGAGGAAGCGAGATCAACATCTACTGTTTCCTATCCACCATGGCTTGCTGGTTCGTGAATAAGATACGAATCATGTAAAAAAAATGAGTTAATAACTCACTGGTCCTGAGAACAGTCACCAAATAATATGTATAAAAACGATATCTTCCATCCTCTCCAACCTCAAACGGGAACAAACAGAAGGTTATGAAGGATTTCGAAACAAATGCGCCATAACAGAGGCTTTTAACCAGCTGAATAAAACGCTGCAAAAAAAGGTTTACGACTGCAAGCCACTGCCTCGTGAATGATTATATTAATAAAAATTATCCAACACAATATTAAATTATAATGAAATCAACAATATGAGTGTAATTCACTACAAGAAAATTCATTTCTCTTCAGTTATTCAACCAAAAAAAGGGTATATGAATAAATACCTATTACGTCATCAGATTACATCCATTCATTAGGGGATATATAATACTGAACGAGGCCGGTGTAAATAAATTTTCAAGACCGAGGTCCTTACTGGATTTTTGAACGAGGCCGAAGGCCGAGTTCAAAAATCAGTAAGGACTGAGGTCTTGAAAATTTATCACCGGCCGAGTTTGGTATGTATTTTACTGTATGCCAACGATAAATTTATCTTCTGGGCCGAAGCTCTTAGCCGACTTAGGAACGAGACCATCCCAAAATGTTGGCTTTAGTGCATTCTGGTAATGCATTTTTGACCGTGGTCAATTTGCTTACACCAGTTATTACCACACCCCTCTGGCTAATGTATTTGAATAGGCCAGGCATACAGTAAGAGAGCATCTCAATCTTAAAAGTAAATCCTTGGTTGTATTATTTTGCGCCACTTCGTGTCAATTTTGCCTTCATGATGTGTTTTCTTTGTAAAGATAAGACAAAATGTCAGTTCAAATCCATTTTCATTTAATTATGGGACCAAAGTAAGGCTCAGGGCTACCTAACACCTGCCTTTTCAGCTGGATTGTCAGTGTCAAATTCTCTCAGACCACATCTCATGATCTCAAGACTCAAGGCCAGTTTCCAAACAATGTGTTTTTTGGTGTTTTGATTCTGCCTTTTCCCCTAGGGAATGTTGTCATGAACATTTATTTATTTTATTGTGTTATACATACGTATTACCTACCATTAGACTTACTAATTGATCGTGCTTTTGCAACATGAATGAGTACCATTCCAATTCTTCCTTTTGTAGACCACAGTAGATTCTTGACAATTTTAATTATAACCAAGCCTGTGAAATGCTGAGGTCCATGTGTTACCCCTACCCTTAGCAATGGAACTTCTACCACAAAATGTATCTTGCAGTGGTTAATATTGCTGTTTTATTACAATTTGAGAGCCTCTTAGTGTCCAAAGTTTGAATCTTTTGCTGAATTTTTTTTCTTCACAAAATCAAAAATACCGGCATGCTACCGGCAAGACATGCCAGATACCACGAAAAAACCTGCGGTAGTGAAAAATTACCGGCATGCCGGTAGTGCGGTAGGGAAATTTTGCAACTCTACTCGATAGCAGCTCAAATATTGATGTGCGGGAGATCAGGTCCGGCTTCGTTCCTATCGTTCCTATCATTCATTCCGGGAGATTTCCAGTAATCGGTTGGTCGTTTTGATTCAACCTGCCATCATTTTTTTTTTTTTTAAACGTTGACCAGTCGACAATCTCAGCAGAATGCCCGAAAGCTATTTGACATTAGACCACAATAGACAGGAGCGAAAATGCTTACGGAATTCTCTTTATGTCGTTGTGTGACACCATTTTAGATAGCCGGCGCTAAAACTGCGACGCCCACAATCTCCTCCATCTACCTGTCGGTGTTGTTTGCGGTGAACTCAGCCCTGACCTCGACCTTGACCCGGTGCTGTGCGTGCGTGGGTGGTCGTGCGGTCCCCACCCTTCGACCCAAGGAGCTCGGGCAGCGGAGGCGGTGGCACGAACCGAGCCCCGCGATCAATGGGGTCTCCGAGGACGGGTCCGGGCCGACCTGGCGCAGATAAGGGGCGCTCAGAGACACCGACGCCGCATTATGGATAAGGGTCACCGACCGGCCTGTCTCCGGGGGACCGGGCTCGATTATAAGCTATATTTTGGGTGAATAAAAAATATAAAGAGATGCACACAAAATATTGCTTTCTTTTTACTAAAATACTGCATATCTCGCTCAACTATTTTCGTGTTAGCGGTGGGGGTGAGAAATTTAATTCAATGCCGTCACCGACCTTGGGTGTAGTGGAGGCCTGCGATTGGAATTGCTGTGGATCGATTGGAACTGCTGTTGATCCGTTGATTCGATGACATCCGCTAACGGCCGACTCGATTGAACAGGCCTATTGATCAGTCGCTGTCGCTCAGCTGAGTATCGCCGCTCAGCCGTGGGCCTATAGGCCGTCATTCTATTTCGCTTTGGGCCTGATGCGCTGTGTCTGTCTCTCGAATGAAGCTTAGCTGCATCTTTGTCTCTCTGCTCCAGCTCGCCTGCGTTTGGCTCTCAGCCCTGTGAGTTGCCTCAGCTCTATCCTGGCTTTATTTGGCTCTTAGCTCCGTTTAGCTCATGGCTCCGCCGGATCTTACCGTCATCGCGCTGCTACCATATGCCACCGCTCCACTGGTCCACTTGGTCCATTGAGGTCAGACGGTCTGGTGACCTTTATGTTCTGAATGTCGACCCCAGCCATCATCTTCTCAGCCTCTGACAGTTCCTCTGCTCTGCCTCCGTCTGTTCCTCCCTCAGCTTTGCCACAGAACAGTGTTCTCTTTCTCTGACAATGCCCACACTCTGCTTCTGTCTACTCTGCCTCTGAACCTGAACCTTATCCCCCACCTTAGCACAGTCTGCTTCTCACTCTGCCACTGTCTGCTCCTCCACTCTACCTCTGTCTACTCTCTTACTCTGCCTCTCTGTCCGCCCACCGACTCACGGCTCTGCCCTGACTCCCAAACCGTCGCGGTGGCGTCTATTTACTGCCTTATCTTGGGATACCCATGCTGCAGACCGGATGATGGAGTGGTCCCCTGGTCACAGCTCCCGACTCCCACCCTCTCTCGTCCGACCGAGCTGGGACGTTGGCGGGGGTTATGGTCTGATTATACGGCACAGAGGAGCGCTTCAGACCAAATCGATGGAGACCAGAAGCCCCGCAGTGCTAACGGGCGCAGGACCGAGAGGGAGTTGGGGGAGACATGGGTGGGTTGGGTGGAGACGAGCGGGGAAGGAGTGGAGACAAGGGTGTGCCGGGCAGAGACAAGTGTGGAGACAGGTTGTGTGAGGTGGGAGGCAGTGGATGTGGAATTTGTTGAGGTGCGCTGGACATTGAGGTCAGGGCGGTGAAAAAGACGGAGATCAGCTTAATGATTGGCGGAGGTAACTAAAAGCGAAGTAGAAACAGCCAAATGGTTAGCATTCATAATTATGGAATTATGGATGGATTCAACACAGCGGATAGGCAACTGCCGTGCTGCGTCGCTTTACTTGAGGCTTCGTTCGTCATCAGCCGGGCGGGCTGTGAACGTCATGCTGTCCGCTCGTCCGGTGCGACCCCGAGGCCTTACAACCGCTCCATCGAGTCGCCTATCGATTCGTCGTCCGCCCAGGGCCCTGACGGGCTCACCATCGAACGGCCGCTGCCAGTCACTGTGTTTATAATCCCCGGGGTGAGTGGCTGCCTTGGTTGGTGCTAGAACACGATGTTTGTTTGCTGAGTATCGGGAAGTGTTTCGCGGCCGGGGTGACTCAGATTCGGTCCGACAGTTGTCATGGAGCTGCCTCGTAGTGACGCGGCTGATTCATCGGTCGCGACTGGTGGCTGTCTGTGTTTGACACGTTCTCTGACCGAGGTATCATTGTTGACTGTGACGAACGTGGCCGGTAGCCCTTGGTGTCGGGTCTATAGCTGAGCAGCTGTGTC